TGGAGCAGGCACTTAGCGAGTCTTTTCTTAGGGGCATGGAGTTGTGAAGGTGCCTGGGAAGCAGCTCCAGCTGTGAATGGAGCAATCCCGGGGTGTTTGATGTTTGAGTTGCAGGCACATCACCGCCAGTCCGGCTTCACCCTGGGCTTTCCACTACTGACATTGGCCTGGAAACGTAACAACGCTTCCTATTGATTTCTGTGTGAAATGGGCTGTGCCAGCTCCACCAGCACAAACGGGACTACTGGCCCCAGTACGCGCTGGGAGCCCTCACAGCCAGGGCTCAGGGCATCATTCACTCCCGGCTTGAGCTGCAGGTTTCATTTGCAATGAGTGCTGGAAGAGGTACTTGGCTGTTGGTCATAGAAGGTGGTTGCTCAATAAAATCAAACCCTGAGATCAATTAAAACTGTCTGCAAACCGGCATCCTCCTACCCGGCCTCTGCCCAGCCCAAATCCTTCCTTTTGGATTACACCGCTCTTCAGAGCTCATTTTGTTGAGTCTTGGGGTGACTTTTTGGGTTTTAAGGGGAGGTGTAACCCACGGTGCACAAAGAACTCACGCACCTGCGTTGTTACAAGTTGAGTTCTTGCAGGTAATTTAAGCACCAGGTGTAAATTCCAGGGTAATAGACATTTATTGTGTGGCAGTGACCCTGGGGACCAGGAAATCCCAGGATTGCTGGTCTGCTGTTCATGGTTTACCTGTATTTTCCCTCTCTGTTTCCCAAGGGTTTTGCAGACCGGCTGAAAGCTCCAGCATGGAAACAGTTTCCTCTGGAATTTCACTCTCCGCTTTCCCAGTCTCTTCCAGATAAAACAGCTACAGCGATACAGCAGCAAACCTCACCTTTGGCCATTCACCTCCACCACTGTTTACTTCAGAGCTCACCTGGAATCTTTGCCTGGCTGATGCTCAGCACAGCAATGCAGCAATAACTCTCCAGGCAGAGCCGAGGGCTGGCTTCACCTGCCTGCACACTACCTGAGCCTCAAAAACATGTTCCCTTCACCTCCCTTGCGTAGACTGTGTGCGGTTCAACCCGTCCTTGGCAGTACCACTTTGAAGAGGGCTTTTGTACCTGCTCTATGGTTTAGAGGTTATACTGTGTCTTGGGAATCCTTCCTCGGAGTCAGGTTCAGGGCAAGCTATGTCTTGTCCTGCAAAACAAAGCAGAAGTGCTAGTGAAGACTTGAGTGCTAACGGGGATTTGGTTCACGCTGCTCTGCGAGGCTCATGGTTCCTATTGAGCAAGTTGTAGTTGGGCTTTGCTGCCCTGGCAGTTGGGTATGGCCATTTTAGAGACATGAGCTGGTTCTTCATGCAGCTCCTCATGTCCGCCTTGCAAATCCCCACCATCAGCACTGGCACCAGTCGTTCCGTGAGCGGACAGCTCTTGCAGAGGAGATAGGCAGTGAAAAGAGGTTTGAAATGCGTCTCCTGTGTACTGACAAGGTCTGCGGGAAGAGGGAACCTCTGTGGAGGGCACATGCCATGGCTTGGAACTGTGACACAGCCTGGACTCCAAAACAGGGCTTGTGCAGAAAGCTGTGGGGACTGCCTCTGTCTCTCCTGATTTCTCAGTCTCTCCTCTCTACAGGAAGGTTTTGGGATGGAGCAGCCTCTTCACGGAATGGATGGCTAGCAGCTGCTTTGCTTGTGGAAGCCTCCAGGTGCTGGGCTGATGCCCCCTACCACCCAAGAGCCAGTTCTATTCAATATCGCAGCTCTCATGGGTGGATGAAGGGTTGCCAAAGTCAGTATGATGGATGAACTTTCTGTCTGGCATCCACCTTCCTTTCCCTTCCCTGTTTTTGATACCCAGAAGGTGTCCGTGTCCCTTTGAAGCAGACACACTCCCACTTCAGCCCTTGTTACTCCTTAGCTGTGTGTCATCTCAGCAGTGTCTGAGATGGCAGATCTGGCTGCAGGACCAGCAAGAACATCTCTGCTGTCCCTGACTCTGGAGCTTTCCCTTGTGCTTAGGGACCTGCCCCTGCGGGCTGCCTGGGTGTGCATTGGGTGTGCATGGAGAGCTGTGTGCTGGTGGGGCTCTCACCCGCCCTTTGTGGCTGGGCCAAGGGAACTGGAGGTGTCAAGCCAGAGGTTGCTAGGGAAGTCCTCAGTGAAGCCCGAGGCTGCGCAGAGGCCTCACACAAAAGAGATCACAGAGGGCTGCAGGAAGCGCACGGCCTCCAAAGCAGCAGCAGCTCTGCTCCCTGGGGACAGCAGCGACAGAAGGAACAGCACGTACGAGGTCGGTGGGCTCCTGCCAAGCCCCGGAGCCGCCACACCAGGGTGCTGATCCTGCCTCCCACTGCATCACCATTCATAACGTGGGATCTGTTTAAATCAGCTTCCCTCGGAACAAAAGAGCCAGATTAGTTCTTACACTTGAAAGAAGCAGGTTGGGGCTGGTGCCGTTTCCTACATGAGTGCTGAGAGGCAAATCCCCAGAGTAAAATAGAATCCAGGAAAATAATAGTAATGGTGATTCATTCGTGTCTCGCATCTTCGCATCCAGCAGTGCGCCAGTGACCTGTTGCCATGTTACTACTGCTCCCTGCTCTTGAATGGATTCCACAAGCTTTGGGCTATATTTACCTTCCCACTCGTGTGACTTCCTTGCTCCTTTACAGACTCCCGTATATAAATACGGACATTATCACCTACGGACTCCCCATCCTCAGAGCCTCAGGAACTGCAGTGTTTCACAACGCCTGCTCAGATGATCGCTTTACAAGGCCAGCACATTCAGTTGGTATTTAATGGTAGGGTGCACAATGCCATGTATTTTAAAACAAGGCTGGAAGAATGCAGCTGGAGGGCAGTGTCAGTATCTCCAGATGGGAATGGGCTCATCCTCCTCCTGCTGCCAGCAGGATTTAACCACGTTTGGTACAACAGAGCTGAGCACGCTTGTCCTTGGCTCCGCTTGCAGCCAAGTTGTATTCAGAAGAAGTTCAGTTGCATCGGTTAGCGCCAGAATAAACCACTGGACCTTGGCAAAGCCTTTGCTGCTTTGGAGAGCCCTGAATCTCTGCGTAATGCAAAATCCATAACACCCACAGTGCCTCACTACCTGTCTCACAGAGAGACCTTACCCAGAGCAACCCATTCATCAGAATGTGAAACACTGGTTCCTCTATGTCTGACTTGATAAACCGCTCTTTCCCTTTGCTCAGGCTGTAAACCCTACTTTCATGATCACAAAAGCAGATCCGTTTCTTATAAAACGCACCCACGGTTTGTATGTATCCACTGAAGTTAATTCCCGCTTCACCCGAGTGCTATAAAGCCGCCGAAGGCTTCTGTTGGCACATGTTTCAGAGCTAGGAAAACAATGTGTGTAAAAACCCTGATGTAAATCCATTGCTTTGGGGGGAAAAGTGCTTTTCCATGCTAGTTTGCCGTCGTTTACATGATTATAACAGGCTCTGCACAAGGGAAGCTACACTCATCCCGAAAGAATAAATAAACCAAACCAGTGTAGACAAGTTGAGGACTGAGGCAGTGCTGAGGATGATGGAGCAGCCTCACATGGGGTCTGTGTACCAGCAGCCCTGAGTCCTCCTCAGAACTCTGTTTGAAGCTCAGGGGTTATGTGCCCGTCTGTTAGCGCTGTTGTGAGACTCCGACCTCTCTTTGTGCAGGCAAAGTGCTTGGAGGATGGAAGTGTGAAGGTGTTAGGTGGGAGGGCAAGGGGGAGGAATGTTCCCTGAGTGCAGATCCTTTTGTCTAAAAGGAACAAAGGGAACCTTGCTCTAAATCCCCATGGAATTAAATAACACCACAGCCAGGGCTTTCCTTCAGCATCCAGGTCATCCTTCAGCTTCCTGCTCCAAAGATGTTCAACTCCCAAAATAAAAAATAGCTTCATTCCATAAAAATTAGGAGTTCCCTTTCATATCACTCTGATCCAAAGCATTGTTAGCGAGAGTGTCTCATTTATACCATGTCATAGGAATCATTTTGATCCATTTTTCCATGTGGTTTTGCTCTGCTTTAACTGTGGATCCCCAGCAAGCTTTCCCTGCTGCAGGATTTAATTTCCAACTTACTTTTGTATTTTAAGAAGCCATTTCTTCAACTTTATTTGCTACAGGAAGGTTCATTTTGCTTTAAATGTTCCGAGTTTTTCCTAGTTTCAGTCCTGGGTCAGTACTGCTGGATGCCATAAAACCAGAATTAGGATCAGTCTCCGATCTGGTTGCGTTTTGATGGTGAACACAACGCAACGCATGAAAGCTGCGCTGGAAAGGTAAGCGGTTACGAAACTATATTTATCTTCACATCCTTTGCTGCTTCTAAGTGCAGACAGCCCCTGTCGCTGGTGATTGCGTTAGGTCTTCATTTTTTCCAGGCTCCTTAAACCCAAGCTCCTCGCCTGTAGCCCTGCGAGTAACCGCGCTTGCCGTTTGCTGACCCGCGGTATTTTGCCATCTCCTTACCCCAGGGACCGTCACGTTGGTGACAGCCCGGCCGCGGGCACGAGGCTTTTTGTGAAATCTCTTTGCTCTCCCCTTGCTCCTGGGGACTTTTCCCCGTGGGGGACCCACGGCGGCTGAGCCCAGCGCCGGGAGCGGGGGAGGGGGGGGGGGGGGGGGGGGGCTCGGGGGAACTTTTGGTCCTCGTTTGGCTGAGCCCAGCGCCCCGGGGCTGGACCACCGGGGGCCGTGCAGGGGCCGAGGCAAGTCCCGGGGCCGGGCGGTGCGGAGGTGCCGTCCCGGGGCCCGCCGGTTCCCGGCCAATCGGCTCAGCTCCGCGCTCTCCCCGCCCCGCTCGCCCCATGTGCAGAAATAGCCCCGCCGCGGCCGGCAGCGGCTTTCTGCGGGGAGCGGGAGGGAGGGCGGCAGCGGAGCATCCCCGGGCGGAGCAGCGGCGTCCGTCCCGTCCCGTCCCGCCCCGAGGTGCCGGCGGATGGCCCCGCGGCGGGCGCAGCGGCCGGGCCCGGCGGCGGGCGGGAGGTGAGCGGAGCCCCCGGGAGCGCGGATGCCGGCCGGGGGCCGGGCGCTGCGGGCAGCGGGGGGCCGCGGGCCGGGGCTCGCTGCGCCCCTCGGGCCCCCCAGGGCCGGGCGGGAGGCGGCGGTGAGCCCGGACATGGGTGTTTGTCTCCGGGCAGCGCTGCCCCGTGGCCTGTTGGTACCTGCGGGCGGGCGCCCGGTGGAAAGCACCTTTTTCTCATGAACGGTTCTAGTTCCTCGCCCTGGGCTCTCGCCATGGACACTATGAAAACCACTTACATCGTGCTGGAACTGATCATCGCTGTGCTCTCCATCGCTGGCAATGTCCTGGTCTGCTGGGCCGTGGCCATCAACAGCACCTTGAAGAATGCCACCAACTATTTCCTGGTGTCTCTGGCGGTGGCTGACATTGCCGTGGGTTTGTTAGCCATCCCTTTCGCCATCACCATCAGCATTGGATTCGAGGTGGATTTTCACAGCTGCCTCTTCTTCGCCTGCTTCGTGCTGGTGCTGACCCAAAGCTCCATTTTCAGCTTGCTAGCGGTGGCCATCGACAGGTACCTGGCTATTAAGATCCCACTGAGGTAAGAGGCTGGAGTGGATGCAGGTAGCCACATTCCCTGAGAGCCCAGACTGTGATCTTCCTTGTTTTAGCGTGCAGGGACTGCTGGTCTCTAGAGGTTTGAGGGTCATGGTGATGATGAAAAGAACAGGGATTTTGCACTTACTTGCTGCAGGACTGAGATCGGGGTTCCAGTATCCTGCCTCTCATTTCAAAATGCACCTGATAGCTCAGTTTCTGCAGGATGTCTGCTCTGGGAAGGTCATGAGTCGGTGGGGTGATTCAGGAGTGTGCTTGGAATAGATGTAGCTAATCTATGCAGGTATTTATACAGCCCCCATTACCGTGGTGTCAGGGCATCTCCCAGGTAACTAAATATAGGAGCACCCACCATTCCTCCTATTTTCCAGCCTATTAGAGAAGTGGTGATGTAGGCTGTTCTGTAAAAGTTCTTGTCTCTTCCTCAGTTCAGGTCACAGTACATTCAGAAAAGCTGAAAGTTATCTTAAATAGATTTTAATGTGACTTTGTACACACTTCACATTTTCAGCCAGGACTAGAGTCTAACCGGGCTGTCTTCCACTTTTTAGGGGGCTAGAATTGGACTGAAAGCACAATCTGTTGCATCTATAGATGCTGAAACCGTATTTCCATGCTTGCATACATACCTTTTCCTTCTGAGTGCTTATCACAAGTCTATAGAGCAATAAATGTCAGAAGGTGTCAGCTCTGTGCATACCCTGAAAGGAAAAGAGGGAAAGAGAAAGGTTTCGCACATCGGACTGTTTTACTGTTTAGACTTCCATCCAAGTGCAGCATCAAAGACATAAGCTGGTTTCCTTGTAATTTATGGGATGTTGCAACATCATGGGGCAAACTATCGAATGTAATTTACAGGCACTTCCCCAGTGAGTTGCTGCAGCAGCTGGCTTAAGCTTAAATGCAACAAACCCCCGGCTTTGCATTACAAATGACCCGAGTCCAGTGGTCTCAGTCTCCTTCATGTCTCTGTTGTCCCTCCCTGAGAGTAAGACACATCATCGATGGAGCGGGAGTCCAGGACTGCTCCAGGGTTGGTGTAGGGACCTCAGCTGAACTGTGTGAGCTGCAGCTTTCCTCCACTCTGCTCATCTCTGGTATCTCCCTTGCATGAGTGATGACCTAAAATGACTTAAGAAAACCCCTTTCACCCTGTTCTGGCACCTCGTGCTGGAGAACCCCCATCTGTTGGGCAAACACGAATCAGGCATCGGGCAGATGATAAAGTCTGGTAGTGGAAACGTGCGTGTGCTGCGTGGCTCTGTCACTGCAGCAGCGCACACGGAAATTCCACAGGATGTAGGGTAAGCAAGAGCAGATCGGCAGCACCCGTTGATGCAGAGGCAGCAGGGTCAGAGCTGCTCACACCCTGCAGCTCCTCTGACACGGCTGCTTGCCTTCACAGCCCCCCGCCTGTACTGGAATACACTGCTCTGGATAACGCTGGGGTGCCTCTTCCATCCTCTCCTTGGGCTTTCTCGGGATGGGGGCAGCAGCCATGGGAGCAGGTTGGAGTTTTGGGGTTTCAGTTTAACCACAAGCAGGCTGCTCAAGCACGGCTGTAATTCTCATCCTTTGAACCACAAGGGCTTTTTTGCAGCGCTTAACTGAGGAAATTGGATCTCGTGAGGGATTCGAGGGGAGAGCAGCAGCTCCGAAATGCTCTGATGGGACCATTCACACGGCTGTGGAAGGGAAGTGGTTTTGCTGAGTATTTCTTCCACTCTCTTTTCTTCTTATTTTTCCCCCCCTCGATGCTGGTCCCTGGCAGCTTTGCTCAGCTCTCCAGGAGCACAGCTCATACACCTGTGTGGGATGACATCCCAGGGCAGTTTTGCCTTGCTTCAGGGCTGCTTTTTCACCCCCTCTTAGGCCAAACCTTTTACTCCATTTGCACAAACATCTTTATTCCTGTGAGTGCTTTTTACTCCCTTCAGCTGTAAATGGAGATCAAGGAGTCCCACCCTAGGTTGGTCTAAATAATGAAGTTTGGATTAAACTTGGTCTTGGCATTGAGGCTCATTTTATTGCTTTCAGAGGTGTCAAAGAAGTAAAACTCCTTTGTAAGGAGGGAGGTTTCTTCCTGCTAAGAGTGCAGGGCAATGGACAGGGCATTGCTTTGGCAACAAGAGGTTTAGGGGCTGGTACTGAAAGGCCGCTTTTATTTGCACAGCCAAGATCAAGAGAGGATAGGGGATGTTATAGAACTCCACTGGCAAAACACTTCTCTATGGCACTAGGGCTAGAGCTGTCTCATCAGCATCGTTACTCCTGGGATGCTCCACGGTGTTGCCAGCAGCAAGCAGGAAGGAACTTGTCCATCCACCCGCCCTAGGTAGATGCACGTGGTGTTTCTGGAAGGAGCTTTGTGCTGTGGGAAGGGAACGGTGTCCATCACTTTGTAGGAATGGAAACCTTGGGGAAAGTGTTTCTCACTGAAACGCTCGTTCTGGAGACCAGCGCAGGGGCTGGTAAGAGGCTGTGAAGTATCAAATGCCTCAGGAACTGATTTTGCCCCAGTGCTAGTGAGTAATTCCAGAACAGCAGTGGCAGAGTGGCCAAGTGTCTGTGCTGCATCCAGCGCTCCACCAGCTCCCTGTGGAAACCTCTGCAGGGACACTGGGAACTGACTGTGCCGCATTACTTAATACAATTTCAGGGCTATTTAAGCACACTGAGAGGCTGGGAGGGGGTGCACAGGAGAAGTTTGCGTTACAGCCAGGCTAATAATGGATTTTTCAGTTCTGTGGCTGACCCAAGACATCTCATGGGAAAGAGGGAAATGATTCCGGTCAAACTGCAGGAGATACTTGGAGGTTTCGGTGAAACAAAGGGATCCTGAGCAACCCAGCAGGCTGTTGTTTGAGCTGCTTAACCTTCCCGATGTCACCGGGCCGCTTTTTGAAGCGGTGGCATCCTCGCTGGGAAGGAATCACAAATTCTGACCCAGACAATTGCGGAACAACAGAAAAAACCCGAATCTCAGAACATTTAAAACTGGTGGCTTTGAACCCTCCCTCTTCTGGCTAAAAATATTCCCTGGATTTGACCTGGAGCCATGAATTCTTTCTGTCCCTTGAAACTCTGATTTTGTTTGTTTGCTTTTGACAATTCACTGTGTGCCGAGGAGCCCGCGCTGCCCACTTGGTGCAGCTGCAGCTCTGAGCCCTCCCCTCCCCTGGGTCCCTTCCTCAGACCCGCTCTAACCCTGCCTTGCTTTTCACATACGCCTGGACCCCGTGCTCTTGACCAGGCAGTGCTGCTGCCTGCGTGTGCCTATCCTCGCCCTGCCCCAGGGACATGGCACCGTCCCTGCTCTCCTCTGCCAAGCAGACCCCCCAAAACCTCGCTCCTCCATTGCGCTCTCTCCAAGCACAGCGGCAAACCCCGGCTGTTGGGCACCTTTCGGGAGCAGTAAATCCATCCTGCAGAGTGTTTGGCACAAGAGCGGCGTGAGGCTTTCGCTCTCTGGCTTTCTTCAGGGCTGGATCTCACCCACAGTCCCACAGCTGTGAGCCAAAGAAGATTTGTAGGTGGAATAAAGTCTTTCCCTTTTATTTGCATTAACCAAAATCCTTTGGCATGGCTAATAGCTGTAGGTACGGAGAGATGCCTGGAACAAATGCGTCTGGAATTAGGGAGGGAGAAAAGTGTCTGTACTTAGAGCGCAAAAGAAGAATGAAATGCTGTGCAACATCATGCTGTGCGTGCCCTTGTCTGGCTGGTGATGTCCTGCAGGACAGGGAATGTGTTACTGCTGCTGCCCACCTGCAAACACCCCAGCAGAGACCTCCAGAGGGAAAATTAGCCCCAGGTCCCTGTGATTTGAGCTGATTTGATGCTTGTTCTTCCTCCCTGGATTTAGGATTTCGTTTTCTTTCATCTTCAGTTTTATCCCTAGCAGAACTGCAGGACTGCAGTTCCCAGGCAGCTTTGCCATGAGCTGGAACAGGGCATCCATGACCATGGCCTCTCCCTTTCTGCACTGAGCCCTTGCTGTCCTCCTGCAGTCGGAACATCCATGCCCGGGTCCCGATCTACTAATGGTGTTGCTCTGCTTCTGGTGCTGCCAGCCTCCCATGTGAGCTGCTGCCCCTCTTGTCTTTGACACGATGAAGGTACCAGTCCAGCTCCTTTCTGCTGTCCTCATGGGGACATGTTTCACTTGGGTCGTTGTTGCTCCCCTCTGACCTTTTAGCTGAGCAGTGGCCTTTCTAGATGCTCCACGGCTGATGCTCACTGCTGCCTGCCCTCGCTGTGCCCTGCTGCTGCAGGGGAAGTGGTTCCCTCCGTGTTCCCCAGCTAAGAATGGTTCCTGGCTCCTTTCAAATCCCATCTTGCTCCTCAGCAAAGCAAACTGGGGGATACTAATGGCATGCGGGAGGCCTGGAGCCACTGAGGAGAAAATCCCCCTCAGAGCCTCAGTCTTCACTTGCCATTTTCTGTGTGGCACCAGCAGCACACAGCACTGCGGCTGCTCTTCCTCCTTCTGCCCTTGCTTCATTTCCTCTCTGAAGGGAAATCCTTGCATTGCTCTTCATCTGAAGCCGGCCATGCTCTGCTGTTCATGTGTGGCTCACGCGTGCGGTGCCTGACCCTGACACCCTGAGCAGCACAGGAGCCTGGGTGGATTTGCTGTTTGTCCCAGACCACAAAACAGAGCCTTTTAGGAGTGCTCTGCCCCAGACTTTGGCTATACCAGGCAGTCACTGCATGGGGGTGTTGGCCTCCTATTACTTATTTGATCCACAAGATTCCAGGAATCATTGGCGCCAGCTGTGCCCTACAGATGTGTCAGTGCTCTCCCCTCCCCATCTGCTCTCACGGCTTTGTGAAGTCCAGCAAGCTCATGGAATTTGTATGTGCCAAAGAGCGGATTATCTCCTAATCCTATGGATGACAGCAGGCCTGGGCATGAGCCACAAATAGCCTGTGAGGACATCAGTGGGGTGTGTCCGTGCCCTTATGCTCAGCCTTTGGTGC